CTGCTCCTTCCTCCTCCTTCCTCCTCCTCTCTCCTCCTCTTCTCTCCTCCTGCTCCGCCAGGCGGGGGGCGGGGAGGACCCAGGACACTCATGGCCCCAGCGGCGACAACGGGCGCGCCCGACGGCGGGCGGCCCGCGCTCGCCGCACGGGCCTCGCAGGACGCGCGCCTGGTGCCCCGCGGGCCGGGCCCCCGGCAGGACCGCCCGCCAAGGGGGCCGCGGCTCCCCCCCCCCCAGCTCGCGGACCCGTCGATCTCGATGCGGGCGGCGGGGCAGAGTCAGCCCGTGCAGTAAGGATGCGCGATAAGGATGCGCGGGCCCTGGGACGGCTAGTCCGAAGCTCTTCGCGCGGGGCGCGGCCAACGAGCGCGGCAACGAGCATGGACCGAGGGGGCGAGGGTGCAAGGGCACCCTTGGGAAGGCTGCCCGTCCTGATTATGCGGGTCGACTGCGCCCGGACCCCCCCCGAGTCCGGGCAAGAGTCACGACGGGAGGTGTGCCCTACTTTCGGCCCGTGGGGGCCCCCTGCCGGGCCTCGGGGGCCCCGGGGCCTCGGGACCTCGAGGGCGGCGCCAACGATGGAGAGCACGGAGCGCGGGAGAGGGGGTGGGCGGTGGCCCAGCACGCAAGGAGGCGAGGACCCAGGCGGCGGGGGGAAGACGAAACGGAGGAGGACGACACGGAGCACGCGGCCGGAGAGGCGGCGATAGGCAACCACATGTGATTCCTAGCCCTGCGGGTCAGGTTTCTGGAAAAGGCTGGGGGTCAGAATTCCAAGGGTGCCTCCCACCAGGTGAACCCCAGCCCAGGTTCGGCGATTCCGAAAGGTACGGCGGACGAGAACTTGACAGAGTTCTCTGCCGCGCCGCGAGGCGGCCCGACGAGGGCAACGTGGTGCCCCCCAAGCCCCGGCGACGCAGATCGTAAACCACACCCTGGCGTAACCTCACCCTTTGTAGTCGCCGGGGGGTGTCCGATACCCCAGCGCCCATGGGAGCCGCAAGGGTCGGGTTCGCAACTGGTCAAATAGAGGCCTCCTAGATGGGGTCCGGATACATGGGGTTGGGGGATCGCGCTGAATCGCACATCGGCGATGCATCGGCGACGTCGACGTGGACAACATTGGGTTCCGCATCGGGCGATCCTCCGACCCCCCCATCTACTCGGGCCCCATCTGGGAGGCCTATATCCAAACCCCCGAAGTCGTGTTTTTTCCATGATGTCGACCCCAAAAGGTCTCGACCTATTCCCCAGGACAGTTTTTTCATCCTGAGTCGCTGTTCGACTGTCCCGAGGCCCAGTAAGGGCCCCCAGGAGCCGAAAACGGCGAAAAACCTCCCGTCGTGATTGTTTCATTGCTCGAGGGGGTCTGGGTAGGCCGCGGAGCCGACCGCGTCCCTTTTTCTTTTTCGAGGCCAGCCGCGCTCGGCCACGCCGGCGGCTGCCTCAGCGCCAGCACGACGCCCACCGGCGGCCGGCGGCCCGTCGCCCACCGGAAGTAGGTGACCTCCGCGGGCGCACGGCCCGCCCACCCAGGAAGCCAGCGCGCGCGCTGCACCGGGAGGCCAGTGACTACCTACCAGACCACCCCAACCCGACACGAGGACCCGAATTTCGGGTTTGGGCGGGGTACGTTTTTTCCCCACATCCTGAGTGGGGTTCTTGTTTTCCCAGAACACCCTCTCCTTCCCACCCACCTCCCGCTCCATCTTCCATACAGCACAATATTATTCCTACCACACACACCATACCATACCATAGTTCCCACCACACATACCATACCATACCATATTATACCATACCACACCATACGTACCATACCGTACCATACCATACCATGGCGTACCATAGCATACCATACCATATCACTGCCTGAGCGAGGAGGGTATCGGAATACCATACTATTTACATGGTTTCGTGCCCCTCCCACCCCTCCAGGGAGGCCCCGCCTGAGCCCCTCCAGGGAGGCCCCGCCTGAGCGAGGAGGGTATCGGAATACCATACTATTTTCATGGTTTCGTGCCCCTCCCACCCCTCCAGGGAGGCCCCGCCTGAGCGAGGAGGGTTTCGGAATACCATACTATTTACATGGTTTCGTGCCCTCCACCCTCAAGGAGGCCCCGCCCTGGGAGGAGGAGGGTCAATCGGAATACCATACTATTTACCTGGTTTCGAGCCCCTTTCCCACCCCTCCAGGGGAGGCCCGCCCTCTGAGCGAGGAGGGTAATCGGATATACCATACTATTTACATGGTTTCGTGCCCCTCCACCCCGCCAGGGGGCCCGCTGAAGCGAGGAGGGTATCGGAATACCATACTTTTTACATGGTTTCGTGCCCTCCCACCCCTCACAGGGAGGCCGCCTGAGCGGAGGAGGGTTTCGGAATACATACTATTTACATGGTTTTTCGTTGCCCCTCCCACCCTCCAAGGGAGCCCCGCCTGAGCGAGGAGGGTTTTCGGACTAATACTTTTTACATGGTTCGTGCCCCTCCCACCCCTCCAGGGAGGCCCCGCCTGAGCGAGGAGGGTGTCGGAATACCATACTATTTACATGGTTTCGTGCCCCTCCCACCCCTCCAGGGAGGCCCCGCCTGAGCGAGGAGGGTATCGGAATACCATACTATTTACATGGTTTCGTGCCCCTCCCACCCCTCCAGGGAGGCCCCGCCTGAGCGAGGAGGGTATCGGAATACCATACTATTACATGGTTTCGTGCCCCTCCCACCCCTCCAGGGAGGCCCCGCCTGAGCGAGGAGGGTATCGGAATACCATACTATTTACATGGTTTCGTGCCCCTCCCACCCCTCCAGGGAGGCCCCGCCTGAGCGAGGAGGGTATCGGAATTACCATACTATTTACATGGTTTCGTGCCCCTCCCACCCCTCCAGGGAGGCCCCGCCTGAGCGAGGAGGGTATCGGAATACCATACTATTTACATGGTTTCGTGCCCCTCCCACCCCTCCAGGGAGGCCCCGCCTGAGCGAGGAGGGTATCGGAATACCATACTTATTTACATGGTTTCGTGCCCCTCCCACCCCTCAGGGTAGGCCCCGCCTGAGCGAGGAGGGTATCGGAATACATACTATTTGCATGGTTTCGTGCCCCTCCCACCCCTCCAGGGAGGCCCCGCCTGAGCGAGGAGGGTATCGGAATACCATACTATTTACATGGTTTCGTGCCCCTCCCACCCCTCCTGCGTCGCGAGGAGGACATTAAGAAAATGGGTCCCACGAAACCGTTAATCTCTTTATGTGGGGAACTCCGTTAGCATAATTTTCTATGTTCCCCGCCCCCCCACCACCACCACTGGAAATGGAGGGCAACTCGGGGCCTTCAGGTTGAGCTGGGGTGGCTTGGTGGGCGGTGAGCCGGTGACGCTTCTGGGGGGGCTCTGCGGCGGCGGGGCGACGGCGGTCGAAATGGCAGCCGGGCTGCGGAGGCGCGAGCTGCGCACTGGAAGGAAGCAGGAGGAGGACCCAGAGCCAGACCCCCGACGTCGTGATTTTTTCAATACGTCGACCCCTATGCAGAGGTCTGGACCCCTTCCCGGGGACCTGGCGGTCATCCTGAGTCGTTTTTTGACGGTCCCGAGGCAAGGGAAGAGCCCCCGGGAGGCCGAAAATGAGGAAAAACCTCCCGTCGCGATTTTTTCACAACACGAAGAGGTCTGGGGAGGAGGAGGATGAGGAGGCGGAGGAGGGGGAGGACGAGGAGGAGGAGGAGGAGGAGGAGGAGGAGGAGGAGGAGGAGGAGGAGGAGGAGGAGGAGGAGAGGAGGGGAGGAGAGGAGGAGGAGGAGGAGGAGGAGGAGGGAGAGGAGGGGGGGGAGGACGAGGAGGGAGGAGGGAGGAGGAGGAGGAGGAGGAGGAGGGGAGGAGGGAAGGAGGAGAAGGAGGAAGAGGAGGAGGAGGAGGAGGAGGAGGAGGAGGAGGAGGAGGAGGAGGAGGAGGAGGAGGAGGAGGCGGAGGGGCCGCCGCACAGAGGGGAAGGACAGAGGGCACACATGCGCGGCCGGACGCACACATATGCGCACGTCTGGGTGCTCACTGTGTGGCACATGTACGTGGAGGCCGCGCGCTGGATATGCACCCGCGCGGAGGGGGGGCCAGGCGTGCGCCCCTGTCACGAGGAGGGCCGAGCGCTGGAACGCCGTGCGGGGCCACGTGTGCGCGTGTGCGTGCCCCTCCTTCTGCGTCCCTCTCGCTAATTCAAGCTGGGCGCGGCCCGCTTAGCTTCGACCGGAAGAGGTGCGCTCTCGACCCGCGGATCAAAAAGCGTGTGCGTGTGCGTGTGTGTGTGTGTGTGTGGTGTATGCAGCCCTCGCCCGCACCTTGCCATCGCTCTGTGACGTCCATCCCCCTGTGCCTGTTGCGGCTTCGTGCGTTTCTTTGGTTGCAGGCATGATCCAGGATGCCCTCCCTGAGGTTCTCTGCCTGCACACGGCCGAGCGATGCCGAGGCTGGCAGCGTCGTGTGCACCCGACTTCCTGGCAGGGATGCGCCGCGTGTGCGTCGCGCTCCCTGGCGAGCGGACCCCCCGACCTCCAGGGGGCGCTCCGAGGCGCGCGCAGCCCTGCGCAGCGTGCGCCCGGGAGCGAGGCCCCGCGCGGTCGCCCCTCCCCCCCGCAGTACAGTCGGGGCGTTGACCTAAGGAACCCTAAACAAGGAACGAGGCCCCTAATTTCCATAAGTTAAACTTCGCTTTCATATCGAAAACCTAAGACAGGCTGCGAAACAATTAAGGAACACGGAGCCCCTCCCCAATGAAAAGGGTTCCTTCTTAAGCGCCCCGACTGTAACCCCTGCCCCTGCCTCCCTCCTCCTGGGCCGCACTACAGGTCGCTCTGGCGAAGAGTCACATATATCACCCTCGCGTGAGCGACGGAGAGAAAGGAGTCTTGCAGTGGAAGCCCATGCCGAGACACAGCCTGCTCGCCTCCAGGGTGCCCTGGGTTTCTTGGGTTTCGGTGGTTTTGCTGTGGAAAGCGTGACGTTCCCAAACCAAACCAAAAATCAATCAGCATCCTGAGGGTTCAGGGTTGGATTTCTTGTGGAAGGTTTCCTGTGGTCGAGCTCCCACTGCACGCGGGAAGGCACAGCGACCTCACGCGGTGGCTTACGAGGGCCGCCAGCGCGGCGCGCCAGATCGGAGGCGAGGGCGCTTGCGCGCCACCTCGCGCGGGCAGCTCACGCGCGAGTGTCGGCGCAGTCGCCCCCGTTCTCCCGCACCGCTCGCGTGCAGCCGACGCCGTCTGGCCGGCGGCCGCGGACGTCATCGGAGGCAGTCGGCTCGCACGGGGGCGTGCGCCAGCGCACCGGGCCCGATGCAGAGGGCCACCCCGCGGAGCCCGCGTGGCGGTGGCGGGCACTGTGCGAGTGGCGTGGTCGGCTCCCCTGTGGGTGCGCGGCCCCCTCCAGGCGCTGACGGCCCGGCGACTTGCCGGCTGCTGCTCGCCTGGATCGTGTCACCCGGGCGTGCTCCTGGCGTGCTCGACCCCCGCCATGACCCGTCACGTAAGCGTCCAAGGATGCCAAGGGGCAAGGTAAGGAGGAGGAGGAGGAGGAGGAGGAGGAGGAGGAGGAGGAGGAGGAGGAGGAGGAGGAGGGGGAGGGGGAGGGGGGAAGCACATGGGAGGGAGGGAGAGGGAGGGAAGAGGGAGAGGGAGAGGGAGGAGGGAAAGAGGGGAGGCGGAGGAGGAGGAGGAGGGGGAGGAGGATGAGAAGAAGGGGAGGAGGAGGTAGGAGGAGGAGGAGGAGGAGGAGGAGGAGGAGGAGGAGGAGGAGGAGGAGGAGGAGGAGGGGGAGGAGGGAGGGGGAGGGGGAGGGGAGGGGGACATGGAAGGGAGGGAGGGAGGGGGAGGGAGAGGGCGAGGGAGAGAGGAGAGGAGGAGGCAGGCGGGAGGAGGAGGCGGAGGGGGAGGAGGAGAAGGGGGATGAGGAGGGGAGGAGGAGGAGGAGGAGGAGGAGGAGGCAGGAGGAGGAGGAGGAGGAGGAGGAGGAGGAGGAGGAAGGAGGGGGAGGAGGAGGAGGAGGAGGAGGAGGAGGAGGAGGAGGAGGAGGGGAGGAGGAGAGCGAGGAGGAGGAGGGAGGAGGAGGAGGCGGAGGAGGAGGAGGAGGGGGAGGAGGAGGAGGAGGAGGAGGAGGAGGAGGAGGAGGAGGAGGCGGAAGGAGGAGGAGGAGGAGGGGAGGAGGAGGAGGAGGAGGAGGAGGAGGAGGAGGAGGAGGAGGAGGGAGGAGGAGGAGGAGAGAGGAGGAGGAGGAGGAGGAGGAGGAGAAGGGGGAGGAGGAGGAGGAGGAGGAGGAGGAGGAGGAGGAGGAGGAGGAGGAGGAGGAGGAGGAGAAGAGGGAGGAGGCAGGTAAGGGGAGAAAGGGTGACGTTGCCCGCGAGGGAAGAGCGGACAGGGCGAGGACGAGCTCGAGGCCCCACGCGCCGCTCAGGGCGGCAATCTGGCCACAGGTCGAGAGAGAGAGAGAGAGAGACCCGCCTCTGCCGGGGGCCAAGTAAGCAGTTGCGCCGCAACGCGCGCAACCAATGCCATGGTCGGCACTGCGGACTCGGCGCCGAGGGGGAGCTGACAGACGACGGAGGGGATCGAGGAGAGCGCAGGGGAAGAACGAAAACGGCGAGGGAGGAGGGGAAACGGCCTGGGCCCGCACATCGGGGTGGGAAGCCGTGGCCCCGAAAATGAGCCATGGAAGACAATTGCACACCCGAAGAAACAAGAGACAAACTGTCTATCCCGGCGAGAGACCCAACCATATGCAGTTGTGAATACCGCGGTGGTGCGTACCCTCTTCGGTGGAGCTCCCTATGGGGCACGAAACGTGTGAGGGGTGTCCCGAAACGGGTGCGGTGGAGGCATTGCGGGCGATGCCACTGGGGCCTTCGCTGGAGCTCCCTATGAGGACACGAAAGGAGCGACGGTGCGGTGGTGCCATGCGGGCGCAGCCTCTTGGGCCTCAAATGGAGCCCCCTATGGGGCCCGAAATGTGTGAGAGTTGTGCCGAGACGGGTGCGGAGGTGCCATGCGGGCGCTGCCACTGGGGCCTTCGGTGGAGCTCTCTATGGGGCACGACACGTGTGAGGGGTGTGCCGAGTCGGGTGCGGTGGTGCCATGCGGGCGCTGCTTCTGGAGCCTTAGGTGGAGCTCCCTATGGGGCACGAAACTTGTGGGGTGTGTGTCGAAACGGGTGCGGTGGTGCCATGCGGGCGCTGCCACTGGGGCCTTCGGTGGAGCTCCCTATGGGGTCCCGACACGTGTGAGGGGTGTGCCAAATCGGGTGCGGTGGTGCCATGCGGGCGCTGCCTCTGGGGCCTTCGGTGGAGCTCCCTATGGGGCCACGAAGCCCGTGAGGGGTGTGCCGAAACAGGTGCGGTGGTGCCATACGGGCGCTGCATCTGAGGCCTTCGGTGGAACTCCCTATAGGGCCACGAAACGTGTGAGGGATATGCCGAAACGGGTGCGGTGGTGCCCTGCGGGCGCTGCCACTGGGGCCTTAGGTGGAGCTCCTCATGTGGCCACGAAGCGCGTGAAGGGTATGCCGAAATGGACATGCGGAGGTCAGAGGCAAGGATGGGAGGAGATGAGGCGGGGGAAAGGAGGCGGGAGAAGAACGCGGGGCGCTGTTTTTTCAAAACGAGGCCCCAACACCACATGATAGTTGGGGAAAGGGGGGGCAAGTATGGTACGGGGAGCGGGGACCACGCCGTCGTGGGCCAGTGGGAGCAAGAGGAGGAGGCGGAGGAGCAGGCGGAGGAGGAGGAGGAGGGGGAGGAGGAGGAGCAGGAGGAGGAAGAGGACAGGAGGAAGAAGAGGCGAAGGAGGGGAAGGTGTTAGGGGGGGAGACGGGGGGGAACGAGAAGGGGGAGGGATAGGGGGAATGCGAAGGGGGCGATGAGTGCTGGGAGAAGGACCATGCTGTCGCTGGGAAGGCGAGGTCGAGGGTGATGAGGAGGGGCGGGAGGCTGGTTGAGGACCACGAGGATAGGGAGGAAGAAGAAGGCAGAGGGAGAAGGGATGAGGGAGGAGAGGGGAGAGGGAAGACGACAAGGGGGGGGGAAGGGAAGGGGGGGGGGAAAGGAAGGCTGCGGAGGAGCACGGGGAGGAGAAGAAAGAGGACGCCGTCGCGGGCAGGGTGGGGGCTCTTGCTTAGCCCCCACTGTGGCCTCGAAGGGCGGGAGGGCGGCCATGAAGTCCACCACGGCGAGGGAGGCGCAGGGGGGCTGCTGGCTCGCATCGGCGTCGTCAACGGCGGGCCCCACGTCGGCGCCGAGCCCGCGCGCGGCCGCGTCCTTCGCGCAGAGGCGACGCAGCCGGGCACAACGACGCGCACACGCACACGCAGGCACGCTCGCGAGCACACGCGCACAGGCACGGGCGCACGCACGTGCACAGGACACTGCACGCGTGCGGGGGCATGGCAAGCACGCAACACACGCAGCAAAAACGGCACACGACGCGCAGAGCCAATGAAGACATAACGCACCACGCACACCACACGCACCCACGCACACACACACACATACACGCACGCGCACACACACACACACACACACACACACACACACACACGCACACACGCACGCACGCACGCACGCACGCACGCACGCACGCACGCACGCACGCACGCACGCACGCACGCACGCACGCACGCACGCACGCACGCACCCCCCCGCACGCACGCACGCACGCACGCACGCACGCACGCACGCACGCACGCACGCACGCACGCACGCACGCACGCAAACACACACACACACACACACACACACGCGCGCGCGCACACCTTTTTGTTCCTGCTGCGGCGAGGTGACGACACCGTCGCGAGCGCTAAGCCAGGACACGCTTGAGCGAACTTTCACCTGGCGTAGCAAATGGGCGGTCTGGAGGGGAATGCCATTGTCAAGCAACAAAAAAACGCGAGAACGCGCATGCACGCGTAAAACGCCGCGGCCATGCAAATGCAGAATTCGGCCGAACACAACCAGTCGGACTGAAAAACAAATCCACGACAGGCGAGGTGCGACAAACGCGTGGCACTGATGACGCGTCCGCAGCGGCAGACGGCGCATCCTGTGCCGAGGCAGCCCGACTGCATGGGCTTACCGACAAGGACGAGCAAACAACCACAAACCCATCGTGCCAGCCACAGCGATGCGCAAGCTCCTGGAGCGCAGCAGCTAGGCGGACGGATGAGACGCAAACACACAAAACGAGCTCCATCTCCGCACCAAGTTGGCGCTCCCGACGCAGTGGCAATGAATCACGCGAGCACTGCGTGCTGAAGCGTGTGCGAGTCTTATGGTCCCACCGCTGGACAAGGGGCGCGGGAAAAGTACCAGGCACGACAAGCTGCTGCAGGAAGATGGTCGCAGGAAAGGAGCACAGTAACGCACCACAGTAAGAGCACCACAGAACGGTGTGCAAGGGAGGGGAAAGGCGAAAACGGCGGCGAAGCTGAGCGGCATGCCGAGAAGGCACGGAAACCAGCGGCAAGTGCCCAGCAACGCACAGCAAGTGGCGGGCAACGCACGCAGACACAAACATTTCACACTCACACACACGCACACGCAGACACACACACACATGCACACACACACACACACGCACACGCACACGCACACGCACACACACACACACATACACATACACACACGCGCGCACGAACGATCGCACGAACACACGAGCACATGCACGCGCAACAAGAGCAATGACAGACGTGCATCACAATCACCGAATCTCAAAATCAGACTTGCACATGTTAGCCAGCGTGGGCCCAAACCGTGTGTTTCTGGCAACATCTGCTGTGCACTCCATGTGGAACAAATGTGGTGCCACTTATGTGGTTCAGCATCTGCGGTGCAACGTCTGTGATGCACTCTACACGGTGCGACCTATGTTGCGCAATCTAGGTCGCGCGATCCTTGTTGTTTGTGCACTCTACGTGGTGCAATCTACGCGGTGCTATTCACCCTCCCGGACTTGAAATTGTCCACTCCACTGCTCGCGCGATCATCCCATCCAGCCACCCGCCACTTGGTTTGCCAAACCCATGCGGCGGCAAGTGCGATGACTGCTTGGCCCTGGCTGGCGCATCGCTGCGGCCGCGCAAGCGCCCAGGCTCACGCGCAGAGTGGCCAGCTAGTCTGGCGCGACCGACGCGGCCGCACTGGAGCTGACCGCTGGGGACTTCCCATCGCGTCTCGCAAGCCGCACTGGCGCGCGGGCACTTCAGTGCGAGCCGGTGATTCGGACGGGTTAGGTATCATGGCGACGTCGAAACAGGTAGACACGATGATGATATCAGCGATGCTGGTGGCGAAGACGGTGACCGCGGCAAGGAACATGAGAGCGCCGATGCTGATCAAGCCGATGACGATGATGGTTTCCACGTGTTGGTCATGAAGATGATTGAAGGATTTCGACGTGCGCGCGCGGACGACGGGCGGAAGTGGCCCACATGATATTATGTGGCAAGGATCATGCTCCCCCAACAAGTGCGCAAAAGCATTCGAATGATTTCGACATGCGCGCGCGAGTTCCGCTTGGTCGCATTGGATGAACATGTTTGGGACATCTATAGCTGTCCTAAGAACTCGCGAAAGGGCGCAGTTGTATGTTGAGAAGCTATGTTCCGAAACCTTTGCTGTTGTTTATCTGTGTTCCGGGAACTCGGTCTTGAAACCCGTATGCAACTTAGGTGTTTGAGCAATCCTGGCATGCGCGCTCGGCGCCGCACGCGTGCGGACTTTGTTCTTTAGTTGCAAGGAGTTGAGAGCTGAAGAATTGGTATAAACGAGTGCGCGCATAGTATTATTTGATGAGGATGAGGGGCCTGTCGAACCTAGCCTGGCTGGGATGGTATGTTTTCCAATTGAACTTGAACGATCGGGCAGATCCACACCGGGGGGAGGGTCGTAGTATTCATTCGTAGAAAGGAGAATGTTTTTGAGGCTGCGACGGCGACAACATAGCCGCCAGACCGACGGTCAGGCCCAGAGGATGCGCGGCGACGAGGCGGCGACGGCGACAACATAGCTGCCAGAGCGACAACATAGCCGCCAGACCTACGGTGAGGCCCAGACGACGCGCAGCGACGAGGCGGGGAAGGGGCGGCGTCAGCGACTACGTAGCCACCAAACCGACAGTCAGTTCCAGTTCCCTTAGACAGCGAAGTAAGACCCCTTCCGTGCAAACACTTTTTGGGGGAACCAGGAATGGCAACTCGTAATGCCAAACAATGGCAACAACAAACCTCCGTACACGCGCACGCACACACGCACCCACGCACGCACGCACACACACACACACACACAACACGCACACACATGACACACACGTAGCGCAGTACATACAACACGCACACAGCCCCAACCCTGACAACGTGCAACACTGACCGCAGACTCGACACACACACACACACAGACACACACACACACACACAAAGTACGCACCAGACATCACACACGTACGTGCCATGCCACACAAAGGGTAAACACTAACGGCATGGACTGCACATAACGAGCATTCCAATTAAGAGCAGCAAACACCATCGCGCGTACACCATACAACTGGAAATGTAAAACATACAACAGACGGCCACACCATGCGCAACCATCACGCGCTCATTAACAAACGCACTCATGAGCACACACACACACGCGCATGCGCATAATAAGCACATGACATTGTTCCACACAAACACCCTGCGGTATTCACAACACCCACAGCGCACGCCATACGTACAACACACACACATGCGTACACATGCACGCGCATACATCTGAATTACCACACACACACCATATGCACGCACACGGGTACACACAATACGCAACCCACATTTTGCACGCCACGCTTAGCACATCCTCGACGCAACCCACAAGACTTATCATTTACGCACCCGGCAAACATGATCGAGTCACACCCGGGCAGAACATATCGAGCCGTGCTGGACAGAGCGCGTGTGCCGAACACTTCCGTGACAAGGACAAAGGGGGACCTATCTCTTGAGAGCCCTGGTCCTTCGCTGAGGCGGCTCCGCACGTGCGTCCAGCGCGCGTTGGGACGCCAGGCTGAAAGGCGTCCCACAGCTCCTGCAAGAGAAAACATCTTATGCACCGAAGAGCGACGCATGGTTTGTCCCCTTCTTCCCTGACCTCCTGTACCTGAGACGGAAAGCACCACCCTTTCCGTGAATGCAAATCTGACCGCTCTTCTGCAGAACATCTCTCCACTTAGGAAGGGCAACATGGAACGCCTGCCCCCGAGACGGGTGAGCTCTCGTACACCCTGGAAGAGGCGTCCAGAATGGGGTTCGAACAGATAGCGTCGCAGGATCACGTCACATCGCCGATGCACATCGGCGATGCATCGGCGTCGTCGGCGTGGGGAAAATCGGGCTCCACATCCAGCCGCATCGCCGCTGCATCGAAGATGCGGCGCGACCCTCCGACCCCGTCTGATTGGACCCCGTTCGGGAGGCCTAGAGTTGCCCCACAACCTTGACTGATGGTGGGCAGGGAAGCGGGTGCTGAGGGAAGCTGGTCCTGGACCCCAGGGCATTCCCACAGGACCAGCTCTTCGCCATGAGCCGTTTCCGAACAATCCTGTGGACCGTGGAAGGCCCAGGACGGCCAAGAACGGCGACAAGCGTCAGGACCGGCCTCCCTCAGGACCCGTCTGCTTCATTCGAGGCCTCCTGGATGGGGTCCGAGTAGATGGGGTCGGAGGATCTCGCCGCATCGCGGACACATCGGCGATGCATCGGCGATGCATCGGTGGTGCACTGGCGACGTCGGCGATGCATCGAAGACGCCGGCGTGAAGAGAAGTGGGCCCCACATCGAGTCGCATCGGCGATGCATCGCCCATGCATCGGCGATGCGGCACGATCCTCCGACCCCATCGACTCCGACCTCATCTAGAAGGCACAGATTTATGGCGAGGACCCAGACCCCCGACGTCATGTTTTTTTTTTTTCGCAACGTCCACCGCCAGAGGTTTCGACCTCTTCCCCTGGACTGGTCTTTTATCCCGAGTCGTTCTGTTGACGGTCCTGAGGCCCGGCAAGGGCCCCCAGAGACCAGAGATCGTAACACATTTCGGCTTGTTATTTCTGTCACTGCCCGAGATGGGGCGCTGGTTTCAGCACCCCTAAGGGGAGCCGCCAAGGGTGTTTTCAACGCTCCGTTCGTGGCCATTCTGTGGGGATGTCTCAACATGATATTCGCATGTTGCGTTGCATGGCTAGACGCGCACTCCCAGATCCCACTGGCAATGATGATTCTAAAAAAGATGCACATCTGGGGATCTCCACGCAGTGAGTAATTGATTATTCTGGAAAGTTCTGCTTGTAGAGGGACAGGCCCGACTGAAGGATACTCTTAAGAAGTCGGAGAAAGCCCAGAAGGATTCTACACGTTGATCGGGATGTTCGTCCATCAGATCGTTGCTCTTGCGCCACGCGTGGACAAGTTACCAATCCCTGCCTGGCTGACCACCGTGGAGGGGGTGGGCCCAACGCTCGAGATGGGGCCTGGGGACAGCATGTGCCCGACAGCAGGCCCGCCCCGCGCCGCGGGCTCCTGCGGCCCGGAGAGCTCCACCCACAGGGCCCCCGCCGAGCAGCCCCCCGCGCCCGCGCCGGGGCGGCGGCGCCCGCGGGCGTCCGGCGGGCACGCGAGGGACGGGCGCAGGCACCTAACGGGGGAGGCGCGCAGGGGAGGAGGAGGAGGAGGAGGAGCGACCCGCGTTCAGGGGGGGGGAGAGGGAGGTCCCGTCCACCACTGCCCAGAGAGAAGCACGCCGCGGGCGCGCCTGGGGGGGCCACGTACATCATGGCCGCTGCCGACCAGGGCCCGCCCTAGCCAGTCTCTCGGCGACCTTCGACCGACGGACCTGGGTGCGAACACGAGCTCGGATCAGGCCTATTGTACGCGCGGGGGAAGGGGCGGAGCAAGAGGACCTAAGAGATTGGAAAGCAGAGTGCAGACAGTCAAGGGCCAGGCAGGCTGACAGAAAATATTCATTATCAGCAGGGAGAAGGTGGGGGAGGAAGGAAGAATATGGGTCAACTCCATAGTCGTCAGGAAGAAGTCGATAGCTGTTACGAACGGCACCGATAGCAATATGACATACCATATAGTGCAATATATCATCCCCTCCTACTGCTTGGCAACCGAACCGACACCCAACAGCTCCACAACGATAACGTCTGGTCGTATTCCAAGAATTGAAGAGGCTTTTCAGGACGGCGGTAGCGACGAACCCAGGGAGCTTGGAGCCTAGAGTATGAAGTCGGATAAATGCCCGATCAGCAAATTCCATGGGGCACCTGGGGAACCATTTGGCAATACGAGGGTAGAGGATAGAGGGAAGACACGGCATACTATTGGAAACATCCAACTGCTTCTGGATATACGCTTGGACTTCATTGGCTGGTATATCCCCTGGCTGGGGATGTATCCTATAGAACTCTTCATACGCAATCTTCATCTGCATGAAGATCGAGTGCCGAGTCATAATATTATACCTCCAGGCCACACAGATCTCATCAGACTCTGCCCAGAGGTCAAGGAGCCTGGAGTAAAGATAAAAAACACGTACTTCTCGTGGCTGCACGGATCATACAAGCTCGGGCATACGTCTCAAGCCGTCGAGCTTCCACCTGGTGGCCGAGCCAACGCAAATTGAAGAGGGACATGGGCGGGAAGCTGTGTCTCGGGGAGCATGTGAGAAGCTGGAGCCCGTCTTTTTCCACCTTCAAAGCACGCGGAGGAGGAACGTGAACTTGCGATACATGAGAAACTACAGGTAGACCATATACATTATAGGCCCCAATGCTAGACGATAACCCCAGGCCCATAGACTTGATCCTCAAACACCTTTCCTTCAACTTGGCGAGTACAGGGGCCCAAGACTTTTCAGACGCCTCGATCCCCACCCCCACTCCAAGATACCACCCGCACCTCGAGACAACAAATTGCCGAATCCTGATACCTGCTTCCCTGCAGCCTCATCAGGAAAAACTAGCTGGCACTTCTTCAAATTCAACATCAGACCAGTGGCGCACCCACTCAGCACAATGATCTTGCACACCCTCGGGAGCACCGCAACAAGATCGGTGGCTGACGCGGCCATGTCGTCCGCGAACACGTTAAAAGTGACAGCCGCACACAATGAGACATGCTGCAATCGTCGAACGACTGGGTCGAAGCAGAGGCTAAAGAGGAGACCACTTAGTGGGCAACCTTGTTTGATACCACGACACAGCTGGATATAGCAGGGCTCCGAGTTATTAAATTGAACAACCATACGACTATTACCAGATAAGGCCATAATGCTAAGCACAATAAGTTCAGGAATACCAAATGCACGTAATATAGACCATATGTAGATGTGGTTAATGCTGGGGAAGGCCGCTTTCAGGTCGAACAGGGCCGTGCCTGCACGACGACAGTCGCAGAGAGAGTGCGCAAGCAGCATCGTCGCGTCCACCTCAATAATGTTGTCGATCATCTGCCTACCTTTTAAAAAACCTTTTTGGGCACCCAGGACCTTGTCACTCGCAACCTTGGAGAGCGTCCAACCAATGCTTGCACTCACAAGTTTGTTGTCCGTATTCGAAAGCGAAAGGGGCCGTGTTTCTTCAGCAGTGCGAGCGACGGTCTCACCCTCCAGCGCAGCGCCCTTCGGCAAGAAGGCAGCGGCGCTGTCGTTAAAGTTGGGCGGCAGGCGCTGGTGCTCAACCAGCTCGAACCAATATCTCCAGAGGCTTTCCAGGCCGAGCAAGGGATACCATCGGGCCCAGGGCAAGAGTCAAATTTTTGGTCCAGGATTTCCGCGAAGACAACCTCAGGGATGACCCAGGGGTAGATCGAACCAGAGTCGGAAACAGATTGATGCTGGTCTTCTGGGATCGGGGTAACTTCAGCGGCCAGTGATTCAATCATCTCATTATCTACCTCACGAGAACTAAAGATGGCACTCCAGTGATCCGCCGACAACTTGGAGCACTCATTCGGATCGCTGTGGGCCATGCCGTCAGCATCCGTAACCTGCTGGAGAAAAATCTGGCGACCAGGTTTCTTCCAGGCCTGGCCGAGACGGCGGACACGAGCAATGGCTTGCGCGGCACGGGCTCCGCCGACGTCGCCATCCGCCTCCGCACGAGCAGAGACTTCGCGAGCACGAAGGTTCTGACGCATCAGGTCGGAAAAAAGCGAGTCGAAGCCCTGGCGGTCCGTCCACCACAGCTCCTGAGGGTCAAGATACCTGGAGAGAACAGGGAACCCCTTGAGGCCTTTGGAGATCTTACGAGAGCCCCCCCCTCGAGCCCCCCGAAGAACACACAACGTACAAGCGAGTTTTTCTTCCACCGTGCGGGCCCCCTTTTCAAAGGCCCAGTCCTCGACGCGCTGCGAGACGTATCTCATAACTTCTTTAATTTCATTAAGCCGGACAGCCGGTGCTGCAGAGAGGGCCTCTGGATCCAATATTTCCTGAAGCTTAATACTGAATTGGGCATGCCTGCACACCCAGCTGGGAATACGCGTAGTGCCCGACGGGGACCATGCCGCAAGCGACAGAAATACAGGGCAATGGTCTGATGGGGCTCTGAGGTCAGTGATGGGCCAAATGGTCCCGTCCTCGGGCAGAGGTCCAGCAGGTCCTGCGAGGCGAGCGCGGTGTAAATGCGGTCAAGGCGAGCAAATGAGACCTGCTCGCCAGCCCCACTCTCGCTTCCAGTTGTACGAACAATCCTGCGTGTACCCCTCTCCTGCATGACTTCCCCCAGCTGGCCGAGCGAGGCAAGAAAGTGTGATGCAAGACGCGAGCCTACAGGGCCATCCAGGCCAGTATCTGCATGCAGCCTCGATTCCCCCGTAGCCATAAAATTCCAATCACCCACAACAAAACCAAGAGACACATCGGAAGGAAGAAGGGCACGTTGGATACGAGAGAAGATCCCCCGCACCTCCCACTCAGCCCAATCAGGAACAATATGAACATTCATAATCTGGCAACACCCTTGAGGTCCCTGGAGAAGGAGAGAAGCAATACGACCAGGCACTATGGTATCTAGATGCGCAGCAGTAAACCTCGACAGCAGCTTACGTGAGACAAAGAACAGTAGGCCTCCAGCGGCAGCTGACTCACAGAAGGTCCCGAACGGCTTGTGAGACTTGTGATCCTTTTCCAACTGATCAAGGTCCTCTGCAATACCATGGGATTCCTGAATACACACAACATCGTTTTTTTTTCGAGGAGTGTCCTCAGGCGCCTGAACTTTTCCCGAATAACATTTTGATCCGTGAACACCGATCCCAGAAGGGTCTGAACGTTCCAGGAGCAGATGCTGAGCCGTTGATCCACTGCAAGGTGACGAGAGAGGAGGGGGGAGAGAGAGGGGACTGACTGCCTGGCTGAGAAAACTGACTGCTGCTGCTGCAACTGTTGCTGCTACAAGAAAGCGCTGAGCCCCCAAGCGGGGCTGCAAAAGCAGAACTGCTGGCCTCACTCAGCGTCCCCTCCGCCTCGCGAAGACCATCGCGTTCTGCGTCCCTGTGGCCACTACGACGATGCCCTGGTGGTGCAGCCTAGAGCTGCGCACGGACCCGCTCGATGATGGAGGACGCCTTCTCAGCGCTGATTCCCCACTCGGCGAGCTCCTCATGGATTGGAATGAACTCCACATCCGACTTCGACTTGTCCCTGGCTGCGACGATCTCCCAGATGTCCTCATCATCACGAACCAATAGAACTCCTTTGAATCCGTTCACCCCCAGGCGGCATGACGGGCCCCACTTGGGGCTCTTCTTCAACTCATTCAGGAAGGGCTCGAAGATGCCATTGAAAGCTTTCTGCCTCATCCTCGCACCCACTGGCAAGTCGGCACGGCAGCGAATCGATGATGTCTTCTGAGTACGATTGTCCACATAGTCATGGCCGCCGTCCTCGTTGCATCACTGCTGGAATGTCTTCGCGGCGACGGTGGTCGGGAAGGTGAGCTTGTAGCTCTGCGAGATGCCGTGGAAGAAGGGCGTCGCTCCATTCAATAGATGCGCATAGCGTGCAAGAACCGTCTCATTGTAGTGTTTCTCCCTCGCCTTCTTCAAACAGCGGCCTCGGGAAGGTCCCAAGGAAGCGCACACATGCATCCGTGGGTGCCTGTCGACTGGGGCCTCCACCACCTCCACCTCCACCAGCATATGCAGGACGAGCTCCATCATCCATCGCCAGGTCAAACGATCCCGCACTGGAAGGGGCAACGGAGCCCGCCTTCAGCGCGTCCAGCTGGTTCTGCACGAACTCTAATTTGGTGTCGATTGCCGCCGCAACGGCCTCCTCGATCCTGGCTGCCGGTGCTTGCTCGACTGCAATGATCCTCGCATTCAAATTATGTAAACTCTGGTCTTGAAGCGTGAGAGCATTTCTGAAAGTGAGCACTTCTTGCTGCATACTTTGTTCCAACTTTGCTATGTTATTATTCATCCCACGAACCTCTCCGATCATATCTTTCATCCACACAGGAGGCTGACTGTCAGAACAAGCGCCTGCACTCCTGCTCCTATCATCACGGGGCGGTGGAGATGAGCTGATCGAGAAGCGGTCAGTGTCTCGGCGTGGGCGCCTGGGCGTCGGCGAAGACCTTCTCGAATGCGAAGTCCTCCTGGATGGGCTGTTTGACTCCGACGACTTGTCAGCACGCCTGGCCTTGGCCGAGCGGCCCATCGCGGCCAACCGTCAGAACCGAAAGGGAAGATACAGTACACGAACACTGGCAAAAGGCACAAGTGGCAGTGACTGAAAGAGTATAGCTCACGGCCTGCTCGGGCGAGCTCCTTTGGCCGAGAGCGCGCGCGCGGCGGGCGCAGGCCACTTGAGTCGGGGGGATGAGTTCCCGATATGGCCTTGAGCCAAAATGGCGACGGAGGAGGAGGAGGAGGAGGAGGAGGAGGAGGAGGAGGAGGGGGAGGAGGAAGAGGAGGAGGAGGAGGAGGAGGAGGAGGAGGAGGAGGAGGAGGAGGAGGAGGCAGAGGAGGCGCGTGCGGAGGTGCGGCCGCATCTCCGCGGAGTCGCGCGCTGTGCGCTCGACGGCGCGCGCGCGCGGCGTTGGCGCGCCGAGGGCAGGCGCGCGGGGCGCGCGCGGCCCTCGGCGCCGACGTTTTTCTTTAGAGTAAGGCGAGTTTACTTGCATGGCGTTGGCCCCCATTCCCCCTCCTCGCCCCCCTTCAATCGAGCGCGAGCGTGCAGGTGCATGTCGACTTGCGTCACTCCCGCGAGTCGAGGCGTTTGCGGCTTGCTTCAGGCTGAGGCCCCGCCCCCCGTCCATGCAAGTGACGTTGCCAGGGTCTAGACAAACCAGGCTCTATGAATCATCCACCGCCCCTGGCCAGGCCCATCCTAGGCCCAAGACCAGTGTAGACTCGAAGAAGAAAAAGGCCAGGCCCATCCCCAGACCTCCTCGCGTTGTGCAAAACATCACGACGGGAATCCCACCAGCCCTTTGGGCGTGAGTGGTTTAGCGAGCTTTCTCTGTCCTCAACCCCCCTTCTTCCCTTTCGGGGAGGGGTTTACCCCTCCCCCTCCCCCCTCCCCCTGGGCCTGGAGAGGGACCCCGGGGCGTCGCCAGAGGGTTTTTGTTTCGACTCCTGGGAGGGCCAAAAAACGACGACCCTCACTAGGATTCTGGCCCCGACGGGGGGAGGGAGTTTGGCCCCTCTGCTCGTCTTTGAAGCACAAATCATTGATTTTACTACGGTTTTGGCCCCATTTGGGCGTCCTGAGGGGGCCGCGCTCATCTTCCTTCATAGCAAAATCATTCATTTTACGAAGGTTCTGGCCTCATTTTGTCCTTTTCAGGGGGCAGCTCTCATTTGCGCTTCTGAGGAGGTCGCACGAGGCCCCAAGATAGCCCCAAGAGGCCCCCAGGACCCTCCCAAGAGGCCTCCAAGAGGCCCCCCGGAGGCTCCCAAGCGGCCCCAAGAGGCCCCCAAGAGGCCCCCAAGAGGCCCCCAAGAGGCCTCCAAGAGGCCCCCAAGAGGCCCCCAAGAGGCCCCCAAGAGGCCCCCAGAGGCCCCACGAGGCTCCCAAGAGGCTCCCAAGAGGCCCCCAAGAGGCCCCCAAGAGGCCCCAAGAGGCTCCAAGAGGCCCCCAAGAGGCCCCACGAGGAGCCCGAACGACTCACACCAGGACGAGGGGCCCGAACGACTCACACCACGAAGAGCCCGAACGACTCACACCACAAGGAGGGGCCCGAACGACTCACACCAGGACGAGGCGCCCGAACGACTCACACCACGAGGAGCCCGAACGACTCACACCACGACGCGGGCCCCGAACGACTCACACCACGAGGAGCCCGAACGAGTCACACCAGGAGGAGGGGCCCGAACGACTCACACCAGGATGAGGGGCCCGAACAACTCACACCACGAGAAGCCCGAACGACTCACACCAGGACGAAGAGCCCGAACGACTCACACCACGAAGAGCCCGAACGACTCACACCAGGAAGAAGGGCCCGAACGACTCACACCAGGACGAGAAACCCCAAACGACTCAAATCACGAGGAGCGCTTTCTCTCCCTCCTCCTCCGCCTCGTCCTTCTCCCGCTCCCCCCACAAGGAGGATGTACAAGGAGGCGGGAGGAAGGAGGAACAGGGGAGATATGCGGGGCCAAGCGGACACACGCCTGAAAAACACGACTGTCGGCATGCTTCGCAAGAGTTGCTGCTGTGAGATGGGCTGGTGGGGATACGCGAAGCGTAAAGAATTTGTTTGTCTCCATCTTCGGCCTCCGGGGGCCCTATTCCTCAGTCTCGCGGGACCGTCAACCAAACGACTCGGGACGAAAAAACCGGTCCCCGGAGAGGGGTCCAGACCTCTGGGGGTGACGTTGAGAAAAAATCACGACCTCAAGGGTCTGGGAATCTTCCACCGCCCCTTGCCAGGCCCCATCCCGCGGGGTCTGGGTGGGAGCACCCGTGCGAGCGGAACACCCGACTCGGGCGCGCTGGCATCGGCATCGGCAGCAGAAGCCGCAGCCACAGCTGAAGTGCCCAGTGGAAGCCAAAGCTGAAGTGCACAGCGAAGCCAAAGCTGAAGTGCACAGCGAAGCCACAGCTGAAGTGCACAAGGCCCATCCTGGGCCCAAAGCAAGTGTGTATGCCCGCCTGGCTCGGCCAGGGCTTGAGCAGAGACCGACCGTCCCGGCACTCCTACAGGCCAACCACGAAATCTTCTTAGAACCCACAGATGTTCTAAGAACAGAAGCAATGTTCTCAGAACATAAGCCCGATGTGGTGAAGCAAGACAAACCCAGCCAGAAATGCTCTAACAACATTTCGTGCAGACCACAAAAGGTTCCTAGAACATTGCCTGGTGCGCCTATAGGCACGCCAGGGCGCTTCGCCACTGCTTGAAGGGCGGCGGGTGCACCGCTCCCCCGGCCCAGGAGGGGCCCGACCGGGGGCGGTGGCTCTCGGCACCGATCCCGTCGCCCGAGGAGTGCCGGCGCCGTGCTGCCGCGGAGAGCGCCCAGGCGGGGAACGCAGGGGCCTCTCCGGCCATGGCGCGCCTCGGCCACGCACAGGCTCCCCGACCTGGGTCCCCCGACCCCCGACGTCATGATTGTGTCACGACGTCGACCCCCAGGGAGGTTTCGACCCATTCCCCGGGGCCGTTTGCTTCATCCTGGGTCGTTTTCTGGCGGCCCCGAGGCCCTGCAAAGGCGCTCAGAAGAAAGAAAATGGTAGAACAAACCTCCCGTCGCGATTTGTTGGAGGAGCAGGAGGAGGAGGAGGAGGAGGAGGAGGAGGAGGAGGAGGAGGAGGAGAAGGAGGAGGGGTTCTGGGTCCGGGGAAAGGGGCCGAAGACCAGGGCCCCTCCTGAGCTCAAGGTTGCCCTTCTCTCGGCGTCTTGGCCGCGGGTCTCTGCGGAGGGTCGGGTCTGCGGGCAGCCTGTGGGCTCGGGCCGCGCGCCTCTGGGCCACCAAATAAACCAATGCGCTCGAGAGGCCGCGCTCTGTGCGGACCCCAAGAAGATACACCACCACCACCACCACCACCACCACCACCACCACCACCACCACCACCACCACGCCGAATCCTCCTCCCTCCTCCACCCTCACCTTCCTCTGCCCCTTCCTGGGGGAGGAGGAAGATAAGGGAGGCGGTGGTGGTGTATGCCTTTGGGCCCCGTACTTTGAGCACGAGCGGAACCATCCGGATATGGACCGCAGGCGAACGGCGGAAGGTCGCGTTCGTGCGCACGGCAACAGCATGTTGGCAAGCTTGTAGACTTCATAAGAACGGTGCTGACAAAGTGACTGAACTGTTCCATGTGAACTACAATGGCCCGCAAGCGGCCCCCAGACGAGCGAATGAACTTACATGCGGAAGATGTCCGAATAGTCACTGCGATGAACTGTTCCCCGAACGCAGCACTTTTGACACATCTTAGAGGTGTGTGGGAAGCCTGCTGACCACCCCACCGACAAGTGAATAGACTCACGCAGGCAACATAGTATTGAACACGCTTGACTTGCAAGCAAGCGGCAGACGTACATGCAAATCCACGACAATAGGCTCCTGCCTTTCAGCAGCCCTTCGGAGCGGGTCCATTTTGAACAATCCCTGGTCCACTGGCAATATTGGATAATAATCGAAGAGACGCTGCGACGGAAACGAAACACGTGTAATATATGCACGCGATTATAAATCTCGCTAGGGCGAAACGGTCGCCGATAAATTCCTGGGGTATCGTAAGGGTTGTGCCGGTCCTACAGGCCATCGGCAGATCAGATATATCCGCGGATCATCTGCAGGCATGCCAACCTCTTACTTGGATCTGCGCAGACGCGGTACAGCCTGCATCAACTTACTACTCTGTGGAAACAAGCCCCCCCTGAGGATTCCTGTGTAACATTTCATGCGACTTGCGGGATTCAGGAAAAACTTCGACCCCACGCACAATTGGCCTAGCTCCATTAATTCACTCTGGAAACGGACCCACTGCGAAACTAAAACCAACAATGGGGCTGTACCATTTGCACGGCTCGCGGTCCAGACCATACTCCGCCTACTTCGCACGGTCGACATAATAGCGAACGCAAGCTGAAACAACAATTCGCAACCACTATGTTTACGAAACCACACAATGTCACGGACACCTGCGCTAAGATATTACGGTTACGTAATTGTTCGAACCGTCTCCTGAATGACCCAGGGCAAATTCGTGTCGTGACGACTCCGGCATCGGTCTCTGACACCGCGCAGACCGTTCAGCATTGAACGATCGGCGCTTTCCACTTGCGCGTATCGCTCAACACCGGACGATGCGCGGCCGTTGGCGGCGTTCAACCTTGACCGCCCACGGCGGCGGCCCCAGCGTGGCGCTGGGGCCGCTGCCGCGTCGACACGACACGAACACGGCGAAACTCCGCGCATCGCGCCCCGCGCAACGGGGTCATGCCTAGGCCGGGCATGTCCTCCCACAGGCGGGTTTGGAAGGGCATAAAAAATAGTCGGACAAATAACCAAACACAGCCAAACGAGCCCGAAAAATCGTCACCATTTTTTAACTATCCCTGAATCTTCCTCCTGCGACTTAAACTTATGCCCGCCCCGGAGACTGGCGGCTCCGTGACCGGCGCCCGAGACTGCCTTCGCGCCGCCCAGAGGGGGCGCGACCCCTGATTGGGGCGCCCCTCCCCCAGCCGTGGCCACGA